GGTTGCCCGCTCTGACATTGGGGTGCTCTGACATTGGGGTGCTCTTTGCCATGATAATCGGCGAGGGGTCACATGGTGGTCCTGCGTTCTGATGGTTATTCCGGATTCTGTTCATTCTTTGTCCTTGGCCGGCAGAGTCATTGCAGAGCTGCGTGTCAGTTGTGCCCTTCACAAGACATCCCGGACATTATTATTAATACATCGTAGTGAGGAGTGCCGATTCCTGGAGGAAGTGACCTCTGACCTGCCTGACATGCAGAGTGCCGGGAGAGTTGTACTTTAATATCCAGATTCCCCCGGTGGATGCATCTATAGGAGGAATGTCTTCATCTGTCTCATGCTGATTGAGCAGCTTTTGTGGCCTTTTTATGTTTTCTCTACCCTGAGTTATCGGACTGACAAAGCCATTGAGGAGTTATTATGGGTTGGCTGGGGGAAGGGGGTGTAAGAAATAAATCCTAGGACATTGTTAGGGGTGTCAGGAATTGGGGGTGAGTCCGGGAATGTTTTCTCTCGCTGTCCCTTCAATCTCCTCATTGTATTCTGCTTTCCCCCGTCCTCTGGAGCTGTGCGTTGTTCTTGTACATGGCTCCAGCTACGGTGTCAGATGAGTGTGTGCGTCTCTCCGCGGACCCCACCTGTCACTGTCAGGCAGCTTTCAGCAGTGAGTAATGAACTTGGCGTCTGATGGTGACAGCTCAGAAAATGAACTCGCTGAACACGGATGCACACAACACGCATTGCATGTGCTCTGCATCTGCACCTGTCAGGAAGGAGAACTCCAATCATCTCCATTATATTTTAGACTTAATTACTCTCATCGGCGCTCAGAGCCGCGGTGTCACCCAGCCGTGCCTGGATCTGCTGCGGCCGGAGTCGGCTCTCTCCGGCTGGGTGCTCGGCTGCGGTCAGAGAGGTGTACAGTAATTGCCGAGATTACATTCGTTAGGAGGACCTGGCCGGCCAATCAGATCTTGGCTGTCGGTTCTTCCCGTTTCCTCCTTTTACACAGCTGGAGCACCATGCTGGGACTTGTAGTTCCTCTGGTGGGGGGTTGTGGTCAGGCTGATTATAGAATAAAGTGCAGAACATTATGCGTCATGTCGGCGTGTAATGGGGCCGCATGGAATAAGCATTTTTCCTCCTGAAATCTGATGAGCTAAGCAGTCGGGTAATTGCCTCCGGCATCTGTCCCCAGCCGTGTGTCCGTCCGCCTTTCCATTGTAATAAATGTCGCAGGCGGAGCCGGCTCTTCAGTTATGTTTCCCGCTCATTAAACCGGCTCTGCTTACATTTGCATATTATCAGAGACAGATGTGCGGCCGCGCTTAATGACTGAATCATCCGCCGAGCACAATCTGCACCCAGTCGTGTCTGCGCTCTGTGTCTGCGCTCTGTGTCTGCGCTCTGTGTCTGCGCTCTGTGTCTGCGCTCTGTGTCTGCGCTCTGTGTCTGCGCTCTGTGTCTGCGCTCTGTGTCTGCGCTCTGTGTCTGCGCTCTGTGTCTGCGCTCTGTGTCTGCGCTCTGTGTCTGCGCTCTGTGTCTGCGCTCTGTGTCTGCGCTCTGTGTCTGCAGCTGGCGCTCAGTGTCTGCTCTTCTTCTACTGTCAGGAATTTGACCCGGAAGAATTCTATCACCTTTTGGAAGCTGCTGAAGGTCATGCCAAGGAAGGAGAGGGCATCAAATTGGACATCCCCCGCTACATCATCAGCCAGCTGGGGCTCAATAGGGATCCCTTGGAGGGTGAGAATTTCCTTCCCTTCCATAGTCCTTGTCCTTCCCTTCCATAGTCCTTGTCCTTCCCTTCCATAGACCTTGGCCTTCCCTTCCATAGACCTTGGCCTTCCCTTCCATAGACCTGTCCTTGTCCTTCCCTTCCATAGACCTGTCCTTGTCCTTCCCTTCCATAGACCTGTCCTTGTCCTTCCCTTCCATAGACCCTGTCCTTGTCCTTCCCTTCCATAGACCTGTCCTTCCATTTACCCTGTCCTTCCCTTCCATAGACCCTGTCCTTCCCTTCCATAGACCCTGTCCTTCCCTTCCATAGACCTGTCCTTCCCTTCCATAGACCTGTCCTTCCCTTCCATAGACCCTGTCCTTCCCTTCCATAGACCCGGTCCTTCCCTTCCATAGACCTGTCCTTGCCCTTCCCTTCCATAGACCCTGTCCTTGTACTTCCCTTCCATAGACCTGTCCTTCCCTTCCCTAGACCTGTCCTTCCCTTCCCTAGACCCTCGCCAACGCTTGGCCCGTCCTTGGCCCTCCCCGGTGGCAGACCCGTCCTTGACCCTCCCCGGTGGCAGACCCGTCCTTGACCCTCCCCGTTGGCAGACCCGTCCTTGACCCTCCCTGGCAGCAGACCCGTCCTAGCCCTGTGTAAGAAGATAAAAGTGAGCTCTCTGGTCTCGGGAGATGTCACTTGTGATGAAGATTGTTCTTTATATTTGCAGAAATGGCCCAACTGAGCAGCTATGACAGCAGCAACGCGGATACTCCGGAGACTGACGACTCAGCGGAGGTAAATGCACCCAGGGAACATGCAGAGCTAGAACATAGCCGGCCTTATGATGGAGGATTTATTCATGCTGGATATAGTGTTGTCTGTACATATTGTATGTTTAACCCCCTTTGGGGGCACCTGCTGAAAAACAAGAACCAATTAAATCAAGGACATCGGGGTGGTATCTGCAAGCTGACGACATCATTTAGAAACAATGGTCTCTGCTTGCGGCCTGTAGATGGCACTGTTGTGCACTGTGTGTCACTGTTTAATACTGTAACGGTCTTATACAATTATAGGATTTAAAAAAAACAAAATCTAAATAAAACATGTTAAAATTTTAAGATTCATTTTATCGGTGAGGACTTGGACAGGTATCGGTACTTGTACTTGATCTGAAAAAATGGTATCGGCGCATCCCTAATATATAAATATCTCATACATTAAAACAGGGATGCACAGATCCCAGGAGCCCCGTAGCCAATGCTCCGTAAAAATGACAGCTGCCTCCCGATGTTTGAGTTGGGCTGGGAAAGTATCTGTACCTGTCATCTGCGCACCCCTAATAACAAAACAAGACTACAGCATTAGTGAGCACCTTCTGTGTGGCTGCAGGCTGGTTGCTATGGGTAACGGAACACATTTTCCGGGCAGCATGTCTCACATGTGGGGTTCGGGGATGATGTGATTTGTCTCCTGTCGGTGTGGCTGTGCTGAGCCCAGAGCTCTGATTGGTTGGCGTGGAGTGTTGTCGGAGGTGCAGCTGTCATTGCGATGTGTGGAAGAGATGTGACTGTACGGCATGCTGTGTACTTACTGCCCTGTATTTGTAGGGTCGCAGCACGGCGCCTGTCATTCAGCCAAATAAAACTCCCTCCGAGGAAGAGTTTGAGAACATCAAGCTGATCAGCAACGGGGCGTACGGGTAGGTTCTCATATATTTTGCATTATAAACATCTCTTCTCTATCGTCCATTGGTG